GTAGTAGTAGAAATTGTATTAAAAAAATACCATAAGAGTAATATACATAAATAAATGTATGGGATGTTAGTTGAGTATTTTTCTCTTCTTCACCGTCTGGTAATTTAGCGACGGTCCCTGGCGGCAGACATCACGGCTCAAACAACCCGGGGGAGGGAAGGAGATGGACAGGGGGGGAGACACCGGCTTACGACGTCAAAGGAGTACACACACACGCACACATACATACACACGCACACACACACACACACAGGGAGAGGAGAGGACAGGCTGCCAATTCCCCACGGTCCGCTGAAGGAAATATTCATCTGTCACAAGACTCTCAGTCTGTTTAGCCAAGCCAGGAAGAGATTTGTTTATCCTATTATATTTTTATTTTTTTATAACACTGGGGGGAAAAATTAAAAAAGAAAAGGAAAAAAAAAAGAAAAAAAAACGCACGGAGCATCTGTCAGAGAAAGAGTAGTGGAAAAAACCGAGGAGCAGCTCTGTGGAAAACACGCTCATGCCGAATAAAGGACCGTCGCTGGATGTTAGTTGTGTTGTTTTTTAGGGGCCTAACTTGTTAGAGGATTTCAGAGACACACAGATGAACTAAGTGAGCTTTAATCAGAACCAAACAACAGCAGGGAGGAAGAAGAAGGCACTGATCGCACCGAGTCTTTACCACGACCAGCACCACAGGTAGGATTCTTCTCCTCAATCTGTCTGTTTTTTTATGTGTTTTATTATCAATACTCACGTATGGAATGGTGTTCAGGCCATTGTTGTTGTCACGACGTCTTGACAAAGAGAGCTCAGGTCTCCAGCTGTGATGACTGACACATTGTCATGTTGTGGCTCAAATCTGCCACCAAATCACAGGAAAATGAGGATTTTTTTGACAAGTTAATACACAAATAAACAAAAACACATCTATTTTTTACAATTCATTGCTTTAATGGAAGGCTTGTTGAGCTTAAAAATACTCAGTGAGTACAGAAATTTTAAAGTTTTATCATTTTAAAATATTTTTTTCTATGTAAACGAATGGGTTTTTGGGTCTCGCTGACAAATGCTCCACTTTACGACAAAAATCATGATTTAATTTGCATTTATTTCAGACTTATGATGCATTTGATTCATCCACAATAACTTCATGAGGATCTTGTGATAATTTTTAATATGACCACACACATTATAACCAAATTTTTATGTTTTATAGCGAATTGTGTGCTGAAAATCAACCACGTTTGTCACAATTAAGCCACTGTTTTAGCCTCTCAGTCCATCCCATCTGCACCTCCATCCCCAGCCTCCTGTTTGCACCTCCTGTTTGGTGTGAATTTAAGCCTGCAGGCTCCTGATCGCCTCCACTTTGTGTGAATGTGTGTGTGTGTGTTGTTTTCATCCTCAGACTTCTCAATGAAGGAGCCTGACGCCATCAAGCTCTTCATCGGGCAGATACCCCGAAACCTGGAGGAGAAGGACTTGAAGCCCATCTTTGAGCAGTTTGGCAAGATCTACGAGCTGACGGTGATAAAGGACAAATACACGGGCATGCACAAAGGTGAGCGTGGTGCTGGAGAGCAACAGAGGCAGGGATCTGTATATTTTCCATCTGCGAATGGATTTCCAGTAAAAATGATTTGTGTTGAACGACTCCTCTTCGAGCTGTTGCCCCTATTGAGCCTTTTTAAAGACCCTCATGAGACAAAACACCTAATATCCTATTGATCTGAAGAGGATATCTGACGCAGCTCTTTTAATTTTTTTTCTCTTTTTATCTTTGAATCACTTGTAGAGCCTGTTCAGAAGACTCACACATGGGGGAAACAGAATGTTAGCTTCTACAAGTATATTTTTGCAGACCTGATTGGGCAAAGATGTGTTGTAAACAAACAATGCAGCCTATTTTCTCATCAGTAGCAATTTAAATTTGCTGTTCAGACTGAGGAGAAGAGAAATGGCA